GGGGGCAGAAAGTGGAAATGAAAGCAGACAACAGAACATTGCTAGAGAGCAGGAAAGGAGGTGAAAGGAGACAATTTCAGAGAAGAATATTTTTGGGTCGCTACCCGGATTCGAAACAGGGACCTTTCAATGAGAGGCCAACACCTTAACCTCTAGGCCACGAGAGCCCCCATGGTAATTTAACTCAACGTCCGAGAAATCGAACCATCGGGTAGCTTCGAGAGTTTCTACAGTTGCCAAGAGATTTAATGCACGTCTGCAGAAGAAAAAACAACAACAACTGACTGACAATGATGAACTAACTAGGAGGAGAAAAATAAATGCAATCGAACCTGTATAAGACGGCCACCCATTGTCAAGGAGAAAAGTGGCCGTATAAGACAAGTGGCCGTCTTATAGAGGTGGCCGTCAGGGCAGGTTCGACTGTATCTCGACTTCATTTTCAAGATAAATGGGTATTTTTGTTCATCAAAAGCAGCATGAGACAAATGATGATAAGACGCGTGGACGATACAACAATTCCAGATTATGCCAAAATTATGCCAACGCCTGATTCCACCATGTCGTGACACCAAAAGAATAGTTTCCGTAGTAGCTATTGTGATGTACCAGTAGGTGGACACATCAGTAAACCTAACGGAAATGTTCGTCATGCATCTACTTTCTGACAGAATGGTACTCTATGTATGTATCCGTAGGTGGAAGTGAACCCTTTTATTATACAAGAACTCGATAGAAATAGTACCGTATACTGGCGTTCAAAAGAAAGTAAAAACATTAATTTGATTTTGAAACAAATAATTAATCTACTTTTGAGAGGTTTTACACTTTGCATTTCACGTGGATAATAATAGTAGTCGAAAATGTAGGTCGTGTTATGCAAAAAGATGAATTTGTTGCTTTAATTAGTGTTCACATCACATCACGCGAGTCATGACACAGACCGCCTCTTAAATAACCTAACAGTGTTGATAAGGGCGTTAAACCCATACCATTTCGCCATTTTTATGAAACAGAAAAATGTAAATTTTTTTTGTATTCGCTGTTTGTCACGAAGTTAAGGTCTTTGCTTATATAAAAAAAAGTACAATAACATTGAATCACTGTCTCTGAAGACAGATGGTAAGTTTTGCTTAAAAAGTGGCGTCGGTGGCTTAGTCGTTAAGTGTTAAGCTGTCAGACTCGCAACCGTACGGTCGTGGGTTCGAATCTCGTCAGGGGTCCGAAGTTGTATAATTGGGAAAGGCACTTTACACGAATTTTCCTCACTTCACCCAGGTGGGAATGGGTACCCAGCTATAGACAGTGAAAGATCTTGTCAGTTTGTTAGAGTTTGAGCGCATAATCAGCTGCTTGCACTGTATGCTTCCCGGGAAGCTAAGAATGTTTTTGAGTGTTTTTTGTTGTGTAAAGCACATAGATCTTGATCTCGAGCAGGGATATGTGATATACATTTTAATGATATTTTATTATTATCACAACATCCGAGAAATAGAGCCATGTGTATGCTCCTCGCATTTTTACTACTTCCAGGACATTTGACGCACGTCAACAGAAAAAAACTGACTGACAATTATGAGCTATGAGGAGAATCGAACCCGTTGTTTTAGAATAAGAGGTGAACGTCGTATGTAATAATCGTGCCAGTAGACCATTTTCAATAATCCTGGCAACTAACTATAATTTTTTCCATGCATTTTGTATCGAGAAATCAGCTTTTTTTCTTTAAAAACAGAACGGACTAAGATGCATGCGTTTCTCTCCCTCTCTTTCTCTCTCTATGTCTCTCTCTCTCTCTCTCTCTCTCTCTCTCTCTCTCTCTTTCTTTCTTTCTTTCTCTTTCTCTCCCTCTCTCTCTCTATCCCTCTCTCTATCACACTCTCTCTCTTTCATTCTTTCCTTCCTTTTCTGGACACCATACTCCCTGTCACTCTAGTCTTTCTCCCCCCCCCCCCCACCCCCGTAACTCTTCCTCTTCAGTATCTCGCACATTCTCCTCCCTACCTCCTCTTTCTCTTCACTTTCCTTTCACCCTCTCACGATAATTCATTCACAAAAACGATTACAAACCCCATCTTTTCCACGCATTCAATAAGAATCTGAGAGACGAGAATTTAATCACTTTTCCAAAGCCTCACCAGCTTAAAACACACACACAAAAGCACACCGTTATCCAAAGGAACCCCCCCCCCCAACCTCCCCCCCCCCCCCAAAAAAAAAAAAAGATTTAAAAAGTAGAAAAAGGAAATATCACAAACCAATCCCCCCCCCCCCAAAAAAAAAAAAACACACCAAAAAAACCCCCGAAAAACCCCCACTTTTTTCCCTTTAAGAAAAAACCTAAATTATAAAGAGAAAAAGAGAAAACCAGTGTGAAAACAACCAACTCCACCACGAAATCTTGGATCGCGCTGTCAAGCCAAGCCAAGCCAAACCAAGCCAAGCCAAACCAAGCCAAGCCAAACTAACAAACAGAACAGATGTATCTCAATAGAGCCAATTTGCGACGCTCAAGCAACACAAATTGGAATAAGCAAATGACAAATGACCGGGAACGGAATCCGCTCCTAGGTGCATCTATTCCCACAAGCTACATCTGTACACCGCCCTATGTCCGCGCCGATATTTTGCCTCCGCCCGAGACTCGTCTATCAGTTTGACGGGCTGGGCATGGACACTGCATCATGGCGCAGGGGGGTTTTTTTTGTTTTTTTCGTGTGAGTTTTTTGTTTTCTTTGTTTCCTTACTTACTCGACGCAAGGAGGGTAACCCTCAACACCGGAGACGGAACAGAGGCGGGGCCGGAAGCCAGAGTGCACCAAGTCACGTGGGTTGTAGAAGAGCTCCAGCGGAAGTGCAGGCAAATGGGAGAAGCCGAAATCTGGGAGGGAGGATTCCTCTGGGAATGACAGAAGAAAGAACAAAAAAATCAAACACATACACACGTATTCCTCGCTGGAAGGGTAAAGGCTAAAGGCTAAAGGCGGGCTATTTCAGTTTGACTGATGGAGCGAAATCTTTTTCTTTTTTTTCTGTTTATCTTTTTAATTTTGCGTTCTTTGTGTTGTTTTTAAACATTCTTTTTCTTCTATTTGTGAGGCAGCGTGGTGGAATCAGGCTTTCGTCAAAATAATCAAAATTGTGAATTTTTATCAAATTTTTTTTTGGGGGGGGGCTCGACACTTTTTATGTCCATTTACAAACACATTCCTTTTAGGATTTCACCGAAAATGTTGATTAAAGGCACAAAAATATAAATTTACAAAATCCATGGACTCTCAAGCTTTGGAATTTACCATGCTTTGGCGGCCATTTTCTCGCTAATTTTACCTCTTAAACCAGGTGACCCCTACCTCCTTCAATCTAAAAAATCTCCACTTCTATTGAAGATGGATGGGCAAGACAAATGAACAAGCTTTAAGATGATACCAATAACTCATTATGCCCAAAAATTGACGAGAGCCTGATTCCACCACGCCGCCTCACATTTGTTCTGAAATTATATAACATGCTTCTCAGTAAGTCCTAGTTTGTTATTCTGTAATGTTTCTGATTTTGGCACGCCCTCTTGGGAAGGGGCTGACGAAAGAAAGAAAGTTAAGAAAGAATCTAAAAAAGAGAGAAAAAAAGGTGAATTCGCTCGTACAGTCTTGTTTTCTTTGATAGATCATGGGGCAGTGAAGCATTAGCATAAACGAACTCGCTTTTTGCTCTCTTCCCC